AACACACCACTCCAGGCTCCGCAGGCACCGCAGGCTCCGAGGATTTTCCCCAAAGATAAAATGAATGGAATTTTACTCGGAAGAAGTATGGGGGAAGTATGTGGTAATGCAAAGAACGCTCTCGGCGTCATGTCCTTCACCGCTCGGGATATTCCTCCTCCGTTTAACTGGTAAATTGCATTTAGCCTTTTGTATGTGGGCGTGGCAGGTCATCCCGTTTCGTTATTTTTATCGAGTTATTTTGTGGTCGGACGCGACTGTACCAAAACTATCGGTAACCAATAATTGTGACCGTTGCTTACTTTTTAAAACAAGTTGGGCGTGTCAAGAATACCTCGCTGAAGAGTCGGGTGTACAGATTACTTTGTTGGTGGCTGGACGGGAAAGCTGGCACCATATCGAGCCTGAGACGGGCTCATGTTCCGGAATCTATAATTATTCATATTGTAGTCGTTCTTTTTGTAGTGGATGACCCGCCCATCAAAATCTCGGCCGGGAGGGAGAGCAGGCGGGCGTTGGGGCCAGGCGAGCGAGCAGCGCGGCGCCCTGACAAAGACACCCGATTCTCAAGAGACGTGCTGCTCTTCAGCCACTTTTAACTAAAGGGACATTTTGTTTTTGGGTGAAACACTAGCGGGCCGCGTTGATTTATTATGATCAAAATCGCATGGTACTTCCGTAACACGAATATAACATAATTATATTACAAGAACTTTACATTGTATGGCTTACATATGTGTTTTATATTTTGTCTTCAACTTTGCTGTGTTAATTAATAATACATAGCATAGTAACGTTATTGAATTTAATCAGACCTTTTGCTTGAACCGTGTGCCCTTGTACGCAGGAGACCTTCAAAAATTCATTTGTACCCTTGTTTCAGATGCGCTGATTGGAGTACATTGCACCCATGGTGTAAACAGAACTGGTTTTCTGATCTGTAGGTAAGAACGTATGCAATTCTCAGAGTGCAATTTCTGTTAACTCATACTTAATCCCCATGAAAAATGTTGATGATAGTTTTGAAATCACAGTGTGATAAATTTATCTGAAAAGAATAGTATTACGTGGGTAATTGCAAATTGGTTCGATATATATTAATATGAAATGTTCTTTTAGGCAACTACAATTTAAATCAGCCGGCAATGTAAATCGCTGGTTTTCGAGAAAAAAATGAACTTTATGTATATACGATTTCTGATAAACGTATGTGAACCCCTCTACAACTCATTGTTAATTCATTACTCTGTGATTATACCTTAGAAATGTTAAAGATTAGAGAACTGTCCGAAATAATAGAGTTAAGATCTGTTATTAATGGCAAGTGATGGGATGATGGAACCAGAGAAGTCGCCCACATAAGACCCAGTAGTAATTTCTTCAGACATCTAGCGTCTAACCAATGATCTTAAATTTGTGTTACTTATTTCATAATCCAGACCCTGTAAATATAAAAGAAAGTCCTTTATATGTCCAATTCAACTCCCTTGGCTGATATTCTTGAGCATACTTGAGCATATTGTCCTTTCGTTCCTTTTAAAACGTATTCCTTTTTCTTTTTAGTAATGGATTCTTAAATTAAAAGCGGAAATGTAATGTTTTAAAATTTGTATATATAAGGCTGTTTCTAAGAAGACTAAAGTTTGGTAATCACTTATATAGTTTCCTTGTTCCAGCTTTATGGTACGACATTTGCTCATGCATCCAAGTGAAGCCATAAGTGGTGAGTAACAAGAATGACGATTGAATTTATTATTATTATATTTTTTTTTAATTTTACTTACGCCGGAAGCGAAATATAATTTTGGGAGAGAATTGAGATACTTTAGTTTGGAAAGAAAATGGTATATTATTATTATTATTATTATTATTATTATTATTATTATTATTATTGTACTCTTAATGTTATCTGTACACTGGAAGTTCGTGACACCCAGAGTTTTTCCCAGGCTCTTCTCTGTGATTTGTATTGCCATGTACAGTCGATTACAAAAGGAGATCGAGTATTTGATTTTAGGTCCATATTGTGTATTAGGGGATTGCGGCAAGTAAAAGATCCGTAGAAACTTTCGATTTTCGATGTTTCAGCTTCAAAACTATTCGTAATTAAGACACACGTATTATTTGTGAAAAAGTATTTGACACTTATTTTCATAAGTATAATACTACACTATGGTTACTAGTAATTTCTTATAATGAGATTAATTTCATGTGGATGAAAATGGACCATAAAGTTCTAAATTCCGCTGCAACAGGAAATTAACAAACAATGCTAATGCGACAGGACAGTCATTGACAAAGAATCAAAATTCATGTGCGGTATTACGGAATGTTTAATTTGTAAAATAAATTATAAATTCTGCACTTGAGTTATATTTTTCCTACTAGTTGGTTTCTTTGGGGCTATGAATTTCTGTATAGACAAGTGAATGAGCTGCATCTAAGTATTTACCATAAATCCGAACCTCTATAATGACCGTATTACGTTGAAAGTAGAATGGTTACATGAAACGTAATTTGAAGGCGTTAAAATTTACTATATATTCATTCGGAAATCAGTGTTCATTGCATGTAACAATGCCTCTATCCATCTGGTATTTTTTTTTTCAGCTTTCGAGTTAGCTCGGGGGCACCACATCGAACGCCAGGAGTATATAGAAGCCCTAATGAGACAATATTCTAAATCAGGGGCTGGTCGGAAGCGGAATATCCCTATTCAGAACCGACCTACTGTATCTGACGACACTGAAGAACGGGACGAACAGAGTTACGGCTTCGGTACCTTACACATCGGAGCCCCATCAGAGACCGGTGGATCTTGGACGATAACTAAAGGGCCTAAAGGGTCGACGCACAAACGATGGATAGACAACGGTGACGACAAGGCTCAGGGATGCAGCAGGCATACCGGACCAGACCCGGAAGCAGGCCCTTCGCGGAAGCGAGGTCCCAATGAGCCGTTTGCCCCGTTTCGGGGACACTTCAAAGGCAAGAAGGACAAGCGCACCAAACGAAATAACGGGCAAAGTACGTCCGGCACGGAAGGCGAAGATGTTCGCAGCGACTCAAGTTTCGGTGCGCGGGCTTCAGGCAACAGCCGAGAAGACCGCGCAAACGCGAATCGCGACAAATACCACCAAAGGTACGGGGAAAATGACAACCGACGCGGCGCGGTTCCCAAAACAAAAAAGCGTTCTGCCGCCGCCGGTCGTGCTCCGGAATCATCGCCGAACTCTGGCGAAGCCGAATTACGCTCAACTCACGGGGAAGTTGCTGGCCCTATAGACGCAGCATCCACCTCTGCCGCCTTGCTTCCTGAACCAACCATAGCTCCAGCTTTGGTGACAGTAACTGCCACGGTTTCCAGTACCATGCCGGCAACTTTGCCTGACATGGTGTCGGGTGCAATGTCGGCAACAGTTCCTAGTCCAGAATCTGTTTCAACCACGGTGTCGGTGCTGTCCGTGTCAGTTATGTCCGTATCGTCCTCCCCATCCAGATCTCCTTCTGCAACTCACTCTCCTGCAATATATTTACCTCGTTCTCCGTCATTGTCAAGATCAGCATCACCAACAGATTCCTCATCCACACGTACACGCGACCTTTCTCCTACACTTTCTGACAGTTCCAGATTTTCTCCCCAAGAGTTTTTCTGGCGATTTTCTTCCAGAGCGTCTCCTATTCCTAGTACATCCAGATCCGACCCATTCGGAGCCACCGCAGTCAAAAGTTCCTTTCACGCGCCCGAGTTTAGCGATGATTCGAGCCCCGATTATGCTTCCACTTCTTCTTGGGGATCTTGGCCGGGTTCGAACAAAGGAGCCTCTGACATATCGTATGACTATTCTCTCGGACCCAAGTATGACATTGAATGTATTCCTCATTACGAAACAGATAGTGAGGTCGAGTACGATCCAGAGTTAGCTCCGTCCTTATCCTTCGAGTCTGGACTCTCTCCCGATTTGAGCGATATGGATTTGGAAGCCGTGGAAGACTTCGATGACCATAATGAAGGGGAAGGGCCAGGGGAGGGACCGAACGAAGGACCAAACGATGGACCCGCTGCTGCTGCTG